GTACGAGAGAGAGAGACGAGAGAGAGAGAGAGAGAGAGAGAGTAGTTATGGATGATGAAACTAGCGTTGTGTTTGTGATGGAAAGGGAACACAGGCTTGCAGCTGCGATTGTGGGTTGCCTTTAGATGAAAGAAGGGGCTTCAAATGATTAGATTTATAAAGTTTGGAGAGTTGGAAGCTTTCACTGTAAATTAGCTTAATTTGATGCGATCTGCAGCATGAGCAGAAGGAAGAAGAACATGAACGGAAGATGAAGAAGAAAACAAACATGAAATAAGAGATGGGCATGTGGAAGGTGCTGCGCTACCTTGACCTTGGGAGCAAGAGATGGCTCCGTAGGTCCATCGAGGTCATCGATGAGACTACCTACAAGGTGATTTGGGCTAGGAAGGAGGAGCTCTCGCCCTCGAAACAAAGGCAGACGGCAAGGTCCGACCTGTTGACAGTGTTCATGACGCTAAGAGACGAAGATGACATGCTTTGTCTAGGTTTGTACAAACTCCGGGGTCCTGAACTCCACCGTGGGTCATTCAAAGCCAACTAATGGTTTAACAGGTTAAATGACAGTATTACCCTTCACGTAATTGTCAATTCAGCACGTGATGTCACATGCAGAGGATTCCGAGACGGTATTGTTAAAAATGAAATAAATTGTATCAATTTTGAAACTATGGGGATCCAATGTAACCTTTAAAAGTCCAAGGACCCCAATGCTAAAAGAGGTCAAGTACAGGAAGAAATATATAATTAGCCCAAAAGTTCATTGAAATTTATGAGCCACAATGACAATTTGGTACGCAAACCTATTCCTGGACCTCTCTGGGTTGTTGGAGATAGTGAGCATCATGGTTACCAAATATCCTTGATGGCAGTAGATGGTGGAGTAGTCTTGATAACCTAAGGCGATAGTCCACTCTACCGTTTAGTATCTTGAACAATATCTTCATATTATGTCAGTTGCATATTGAGTTAGCCAATGAACATACGTTGTCAGATCCATAGCTTATCGAATAATGAGGGTTTTTATGTTTCATAATTTTATGAGATTAGCATAACTATTTTACAAGGTACTGTAGATTGTAAAATCTGTCCTACCTCAGTTGATATGTAGGTCCTCATGCTATATGAACATATGCTACAGTGTAAGGATACGCATGTTTACATTTGATGAGAACTTGATTTGCCTCCTAGGCACTGCCAAGGCAACTTCCTACAACATTGGTAGGAATATGAATCCTATATAAGGTAGAAGTCTTTCGAGATATAATACTGAAGGATAATGACATAGCTGTTGAGATTCTAGAATGTGGTGAGGAGTATATGATGTATTGATGAAAGAAGTTGCCAAGATGTGCCCTTTTTCCCCTTTCTCTTCATTTTTATTTCTTTGATCAACAAGATTTAGGAGTCCATTGTCCATAAATTTTCAGCTAAGAGTCGTGTAGGACCTCGAAAGCATACAATTATGGAGACAAAAACAAAGACCTGAGTTATTTTGGTTTCTATTGTCTGCTGGAAAAGTTTAGAATTTGGAATTGTTTTTTATCGTTGTGTTTGCACTCATTTTCTTTTGGTTAGTATGTGATTCCTCTTTGACTAGTTCTCTGCAATACTGGTGCCAATCAGTCCTGTTTTACAATCAGGAGGCTACCTCTTGCTAAAACCATCCTGAAGTTTTTTTTTTTTTCTTGAAGAAAATGTGTTTCTTACTATTGTTAGACTTTTTGTAGTTTTAGATCTTTGTTGGCTTGCATAATTTAATAACCTAAAACCTCATCATCCTGTTAATGAGGCTGTCATTACTTTGAAGTTTACCACTAGTTAGATAGATATATTTACTTTCCTTTGACCTTTAGTTTTTAAGTATATAAAAAATGATTAGTGATCCGAATAATACATTTTGTTTGGAATAATCCAGATCTCAATCAGCCTAGGGCTAAAGACACACAAACCATCTAATTCACGTGTAATTGGAAAAAAACACGTAAAACCCATTTAATCAGGTTGGATTGTACTAAGGATGACATGGCTAACCTGTCCTCATCAACCTACTTGCACTTTGAGCTCGACATCAACAACAATATAAGTATTCTAGTAATGACATGGTTAAGACTTGACATGATATGATAGACTCTAATGCGAAAATGACAGGTTTAACCTGATTGTTATAATCATCTCAACTTGGGTCATTCATGTCAATTCCCTAAACATGGTCCTAACTTAAACCAAAAATCTCATGCTGAGGTTGTGTTGTGTGAAGAGTTGGTACTCCTTATTGTAATCTGTCTTAGTTTTTCCTGTTGGTAAAGCTTGACAATTTTAAATGATTTGTTGCACATGCAGCCAAAATGCCATCTTGCTTGAGGAGGAGAGGAAGGAAAAGGAATGTTGAAATCAAATTATCGCTGAAGCTGAACAGTACAAGCAAGCTTTCTATGAGAAAGGGAAATTGAACTGTGAGACAAACAAGTTGCAAAACAGAGAAAGAGAGAAGGTAATTAATTCTAACCGGCCCTGTCATGTGTTGCATCAAAAACTTATGATACAAAATCTTCCTTTAAGCAATACCACTTTGTTTATTGCTAGCTATACCTCTCCAACCGGGAGAAGTTCCACACAGATGCCGATAAACAATACTGGAAAGCAATTGCTAAGCTTATAACCAATGAGATAGCCAACATCGAGAAGAGAGGGAAGAAAGAGGAGCAGAAGCCTTCACAGACCAAAGCCTGGAAAGCCCACTGATCTCTCGACGATGCGCCAGATTTTGGTAAAGCTGAAGCATACACCCACACCACCTTCCTCTTCACCAGCCAAAGATGTTGCTGCAGCCGATGAGATCTCTGTGCCAGAAGGGCAAGCAGTCAAACCAGAGGTAGCTGCAACTGCTTGATCCTCACATGCAACTATTCGATATTTATGTCGAATGATTTCCGACCATACCAGTGAGTTCTGCACTCCATCGGTTGTCCTACCTTTTGCTAAAACGGTTCATCGGGAATCAGGTTTGTCCTACATTGCTCATCAGATATGTTGATAAACTTTCAACCGTCGGCTTTTCTGTCTCAGGTTCTTATCAAGTTGGACGTGCTGCTGTTGCAATAGAGTTTTGTGATGTTTTTATACCCAATTGCAATGCAATTTGTGGTCTGTAATATCTAATTAGACCATGTATACTGGCTGCTGGTAGCAAAAGAGTTGAACATTTCAGTCCAAGTACTCATTGTGCGAGTAAAAAGGCTAAACTGTATTCGAGTTATAGCGAGGGAGACCTGTAACCCTTTCCAAGATTAGATATAGCTATGCATCATGTTGCCAAACGATGTTTCTTTCGACTGAAGAAGACAGATGTGAGAAGATAGGCATCAATCACAAAGTGACATGTGGATCAAATTATTGTTATAATTATTTAATAAAGTTTTTTTTCTTACCCCATTATTATATTTCTTATCTCTTCTTTTCTTCCACCCTTTAAACATGGGCGAGACTCTTATTGAGCATATTTTGTATATATATATATATATATATATATATATATATATATATATATATATATATATATATATATATATATATATATAAAATTTAAAAATGCTAATAGATAATGGTGCAATATTTTCAATTATAATATTTTTGAATGAACTTATATTTTTTATTATTGGATCAAAATATTATGATCTTGATTAAAAAAATACTATAATTGATATGATGAAAAAAATACATTATAACTCAATTTAATAATACTATAATTATTTGAGTAAGAAACAATTACTTTCTGGATAAATTTTTGAAAACAATCAATAGCGCTGAGATTCTTGTAGAGCACTCTTATTTTATAATTTTATTATAAAGTATTTTTTCTTTTCTAAAAGATAATTTTATCCATTGCATTCGCTCCAATCACCTCCATGCTTATCATCCCTATCATATCATCCTCGTTATCCTCATCATCATCTAGGATGAGGGGTTCACAGGTGATCATAAGGGTGCACGAGCTCCTCTAGTTTCCATCCATCATCTTTATTATCCCCCTCGTCAATTTTAGTATAGGCGATCACGAGTAAAAATGATGAGGGCGACGTGCATTGGTTAGGATGATGATGACAATAGAAGAACAAGTGATGAGAGTCAAGAGTGATCATGCAAAAGGAAATACAATGATTAACGAGATGCGAGGATAGTTGGACAGAGACAAAAACATATACAACTAAAGGTGACAACAATCAAAAGTGGTGGAGAACGATAGACGAAAAGTTAGGAGCCCACAAACAAAAACGATCAAGGTAGAGGTATTGGTTAATCGGATCGAGACAAAGATAAAATATCTTTTAGAAGAAAAAAAATTATATAAAAAATTTAAAAATAGGAGCTCAATTTATCAAAATTAAATGTATTATGATAATAAAAAGCGCTATAAGGATTCTATTTCCGCGAAATAATCCTAACATATATATATATATATATATATATATATATATATATATATATATATATATATATTTGCAGGCAAAGAGAAACCACTTACCTCTTTACACTCACAACACTAACCAAGAAAGAAGTCCGACTCATCCCTCTTGCCGTCGTCGTCGTTGGTTTGGCGGTCTCTTTCCTTCTTTATCCACCCAAAACCGTCCCATTTCCCTACAACTATACGCCCACAAAGTCCAGATCTTGGAAGCCGCCGCCGTCTCCACCACGGTGATTCCTGTCTACCTCACGCCCCAAGACTTTCTCCACACCCACACCGCCCTTTTCCCTCCAATCGCTATAATAAATGACCTAAGCGATCCCCTTACCGCTTCCTCTATCCCGCATGAGCACCCCCGCATCAACCCCTCCCCCGCCCCCTCCACCTCCTCCTCCTCCTCCTCTTCCTTCGCTGCCCAAAGACCCGCCGCCGGAGACGGACCAGACCGCGCCGAAGGATGGCGGCGCCGCCGGAGCCTGCGGCGCGAGAGAGGGCCGGGCTTCCGAGGGCGATGCGGGTGTCGAGGTGGAGAGTGGAGTAGAGAAGAAGGCCGAGGAGGGAGATCACCCGATGGACGGCGGAGACGCGCCCCCGCCGCCTCCCCCTGCGACGGTGTTCCGGATTAGGCTCAAGCAGCCCCCGTCCAGCCTTCGGCATAAGATGAGCGTCCCGGAGCTCTGCCGCAACTTCAGGTGTGCTTCTTATCCTTCAGTTCTGTGCCCATCCTTCTTGGAGTCTTAATTCGAGGGGAACAAGGGAATCCCACAAAGTGTTTGAAGCTTTTTGGTGGAAAGAATGGAATACTTGGGTGGTTTTCTAGCGGAAATTTTGGTTCCATTAGGGACTGTAGATCGTTCGGTGCCTAGTCTCGATAATGAAGCGGAGTTTTTGCCTCTGCTACATATACGCATGTATATATTCTTTTGTCAGTTTTGGTGGAATTTATTCAGGAAAAAGCATTATCACGAGTCTAAGTTGTTACGTTTCTTTTGGTTTTGTTGGACAGTGCAGTTGCTTGGTGCGGGAATCTGAATGCTATTGCTTGCGCATCAGAGACATGCGCTAGAATACCAAGGTCATCTTTCTCTTTTAAGTTACCAATGATTCAAGTTTTCATTTCTGTCATGCCATGTGGAACTAGTTTGAAGTGCTCGTTGGATTTTTAAAGGCCTAAGATGGACTCCAGCATCAAAAGGTCTCCTAAGAATTATTGTCTGTAGTGGATGCAAACCATCCAATCAGGCTTGTCATGTGTCAAAAATTGTTAGTCGAAGCTTAAATTTTAGTCTAAGTTTAATCGAAGACTCCAGAAAAGTTTCTTATTTTACTCCTTTTTTTCGCCGTGGTTTAAAATTGTGTTGCTTCTTGAGTTTCGTCTGGCCATGATCTGTCAATGGTAGATTGGTGGAAATGTACCCTTGTATGCTTCTACACTTTGCTTGCAATTTCTGCTTCTTCCTTCAACACCATTTGTTCTGGTAGCTACTGCAAAGTGTTTCCTCTTTACATACTGTACAAGTTCTTCAAAGAATGTCTTGTTTAACAAGCTTTACATAATTTGTTCTTTATGATACTTTGTTTTTCAGCAAAAACTCACTAGCCAAGTAACTAGTACAGAACATTCCTTAACCTTAAGTAACTAGTAGTAAGCAGCCTTACTCACCCAGCTAGCTCATCATCAACTTATGATGTGGGACCACTCGGGAATCACATGGATGAATGGGAAGTAAGGGGTTATTGTGGAATGCTAGGCCATAAACATACATATAACTGCATGAGCTGTTATTCTGAAAGTATTTGTTTATTTTTTTCACTTTTATTATTGTTATTTAGTATTTAATCGGAAGGCTTCAATTAATAATTTATATTTCTTCTTCATGTTTTGATTTATATTTAAATGTCAGTTACTATTTTAAACCTTCATGTCAAATTATCTTCATATAGACATTAACCTGTTTCTTGTCCTAAGATATGCAGTCTTGGTATTTAACTCGTTAATATACTATCTCTTATCCAAAGTTATTGTGCCATCAGCTTACTGGCTGTTATCTATTTCAGTTCTACTACAAATCCTCCATTTTGGATTCCAATACACATTGTCAACCCCGAGCGACCCACAGAATGTGCTGTTTTTAATGTCAAAGCTGGTAAATGATACTATAACTCAGTACTTCCGGAATATCCATAGTGTTTTGATTATGGTTCAGAATAATGATCTGGAGGGACCGATAGATTACCATAAACTCGTGACTTCTTTGTATCTGAAAGATACTTGCTGAATTGCTGCATGAAACTTCAAAATTTGAAGCTTGTTTGTGCAATACAAATTTGTGATCAAACATTTTCTTTTGTCTCCTTTTGCCTCTAACATTCTCATATCTAACATACACATTTGTGTCCTTTAATTTTCTTTGTTTCTTTCATTTTTGATGTTTCACTTCTTTCAGACTTTCATATTTTTCATTTAGCAAGAAGCTTGGCTCTCACTTAGAGTGATGAAAACTGTTTTGTATTAATCTTAGCTAGCACAATTATGTATCTTGTTTGGTGGGCTGAGACATAATTGTATTTGTTTTTTAAATTGTATTTTGTTGAACTCCTGAGCCTTTCGATGTATTCATTGATATATTACAGGTTACCATAGAATAGCAAAGATTTGACATTTATAACGAGAAATTTCTTTTAAAATTGTGTACACAGTGCTACACTTGTTACTGTTAATGCTGAGTTTCTAGTGTATTATTAACACAACTATGTATAGGGATATATGACATTCTTATAGGTTTGATCTTCTTTGTTTTGTTGTCATGAAGTGATAAATGAGGGACTTTTGATTACTGTGATACCCAACTTCCACAGAGAATGGAGATATCTAGAATTTTCATAGGATTTTTATTTTGAAATTCCTGATACAGAATTTGTTAAAACAAGAAAATAATTTTCACCAACAGAATGTTTCCGAAGAATTATGTGCAGATGTACCTGGGCCTTCTTCTTTTCGGAGTTTGTGGAGAAAACCATATTTTGTGTGATATGGTTTTTATGCTTTCAGAATTTTGGTTTTAAGAGGATTCTAAAATTCCTCAGAAGCATGGTTTCTAGTTTGAGTTCCGATTGTGTTGTATCATACTTATACAGTATCATGAGGGTCATTGTCATGTGGATGGTGCTCCAATACAACTTTGGCACATGTTAAAAAAACGCAAGCGAATCTTATGCTAAGTTAAAAATTTAAATTTTACTATCACATGATCATCAGTTCGTATGTCAGTCTGTTGTAAGGTTCACAGATCTAGGTTGGACATAGGGTGAGACATTTGGGATTGGCAGCACTGAATCAGCTAAGAAATACTTTAGAAATAAGACAGTGAAAAATCATAAAATAGCTAAAATTAGAAAAAAAGTGAAAATAAACATTATATATGCTACAAGATTTCTTTATTTTTGTTGTTCCATAGGCTTTTAATAGAGAAGGTAAATTAAATATAAAAGATAATACTGAAAAAAATAATGGAGAACAATAGATTGAAAAAAACATTCTTTACTAATTGTGAAAATAACTATCAGACATGTTTCTTTCCATGGGGTTGCAGGTATTATTAATTAAAAAAAAAACCAAATAAAGATTGTGACACTGAATAGACCTGGGTAGCTTATTTTTCCATGTTGCCACTTGCCACATCTCAAGTGGGTGCTACAGAAGCAAATACCAACAGCACCAATCTCTCAATTAAATAGAAAATTAAGAAAATTTACTTTATGATTTCTTGCATCTTTAATTTTTTATTTGTTACTGGCAGAATTTAAATGAAATTATCAATTTTATTTAGCTTATGCCATCTTAATTGTTCATTAGTTCTCCAAAGAAAATTTTGTATACATGTGTGCGCTAAACTGGTACCAATCTTGAGGCAATG